TCTCCTAGTGAAGATCCTATTTAAGAACACAGAACTATTAGCAATTTTTAAAAAGGTGACCTGGGCCAGCTATAATGGCACAGTGGTAACATGTTGGTCAAGAGAAGCCAGATCGCTCATGGCAACCACAGTTCATACACGAGTGTCCAAGATCTAACAGGCTAGACGACTGAAGGAAGGGGATCTTGGCCATGAACAGACCCCACAGAGGGTGTTCACCCCTCTCACTTACAAGAGGGAGTACACAATCACGATTTTTAGAAAATTAACAAAAAAACCAATCTATGCACCCCCACCCCCCTGCAGGGTGTGTACACTTAAGAGGGTAGAGAGAGGGAGGAAAACATGAGAGCAATTCTGCTTATAGGGGATGGACATGCGCCTTTTTTTTTTTAAAAACGCTTCCAGGTCTGGGACTCAGACCCTGCAGTTGGTCACATGAGATCCAGCCACCTCAACCACCACGCCATGGCTGGCACCTAAGGTCACTTTGGAACACTTGTCAAAATGCCAAGAAATGTAGTAGTGGTTAAGGTGCTGGACTCCCACATGGCTGACCACGGGTAGAGTTCCAGACCTGGTAGCTTGAAAATCATACTGGGCACATGTGCATGTGCCCCCAAAATCCAGAAGGGAGAACAGAGAAGTGACTGCGACATAGCCATCCTCCCAGGGAGCAATTTCTCACTTTTTCTCTTTGTCATCTCTGTTTCTTTCTGGTGAGCACACGCACCCTGTGGCAAAAACCTAAAAAAAACAAAATAAAACTTGCACAAATTAATCTATAAATTCAATGCATATTCCAGTGTAAATTCCCTTACGTTTTTCATAAAACACAAATATGATTAAATATGAAATTCATGATCAAATTCACACAGAATAAAGGTACAAAAACAGGCAAGAAAAATAACAGGTATTTGCCTTGTATCAAAATACATTATAAAACTATAATAAAGTGCGACAGTAACATGTAAGTGGCCAAACAGATAAACAGGACAGAGTTCAGAAACACAGATATATGAGAATAAGTAAAATCCACAAAGGAAAAAAATTAATGAAATTGACAACATAATTTAAAACATTCCATGACCAAACACATGCATGGACACACGCACACACACATACACACTAACAGACTAGCAAGAAACTGGGAGAAAATACTTTATATATAATGGATGAGTAGTATACAAACCAGTTTTTAAGTAGTATTAATACTGAAAGTTACTCAATTGAAAAATGGGTAAAGCATACAAACAGGCAATTTTTTGGAGAGGAAATACAAATGACCAATAAAGATAGATCCTTAATATCTTACTAGTCATCATAGCAACACATTGAAATAAAATTTCATTTTTCATCCACCTAACTAACCACCAAAATTTAAGCCTTGATAATATGAAGTGTTAGCAGGGGAAAGTAGTATTCTCACCTACTACTACTGCTTGGAGTGAAATTAGTTCAGTCATCCTGGAGAATAATTTGGGAATGTCTATGAAAATTAAAAATGGAAGGAATTTATGATTCGGCATCTACTTCTTGGTATCTACTTTTGAAAACGTCATGCACATTTGCAGACAGACATATATCTAGAATACCACCTGTAATAACAATGATAAAAAAGAATCAGAAATGACCTAGATGCTCAACAGAAAAATGGCCGATCAGACATCCTATGGAAAAGCACATAGCAGATTAAAAACACAACAGACTAATACTAACAGGAAAAATTCTTCAAAACACAACCTAAAATTTTAAAAGTTGCAAAATGCAGACCTTACAAAATAATTTCTACATTTTTGTCAAAGTGTGATACCTAATCAGTGGCATGATGTTGACACTGTTGGATCCCAAATGGCTGTGTGGTTTGAGACTCAGATCCAATGGCTCAAAAAACAGTGTGAGTGCATGTGCATGCCCCAAATTCTGAGAGGAATGGAGAAGGGATTGTAGTGTGGCCATCCCCCAAGGGAGTGTTTTCTCGCTTCCCCTCTGTGTCTGTAGTGAATGCTCATGCCCTATAGTAAAGTTTTTTTTTTTTTTTAAGGTATTGAATGATTCCAGAAAGGATAAAAAATTATTCTTGCCAGCCATTAAAAGATTTTAGAGAGGTCAGCAGGTGGCAAGGTGCTTAAGGTGCTGGACTCCCCACATGTTGACCATGGTTTGAGTCCAGGACCTGGTGGCCTGCTTTCTCACTTTCCCTTTCTCTCTGGTCAAATTTAAAATAATGTGTAAAATTAATTATTTTTACAAAGATTTTAAAAAATCAGCCTTTCTAATCCAATTTGTACTCAACTCTTAGAAATAAACTTCAGTTATTAGGGGACCAGCAGATGGCATAATGGCTATGTCGCTGGACTCTCATGTAGTCGACTGCAGTTCAAGTCCCGGACCTGGTGGCTTAAACTCACATTGGGCACATGTGTGTGCATGCCCAAGATCCTAAGAGGAGAATGGTGGAAAAGGGATTGCGGCATGACCATCTCCCTTAGGGGGTGACTGCTCACTTTTTGTCTGTCTCTGTCTTTCTGGCAAGCGTATATGCCCTATAGCAAAAACCTCCCCCCAAGTAACAACAAAAACAAACCCTTTTCAGTTACCAGTTCATCAGAGGGTTGAATGAAGCAATGAGACCCAAGTTTTCATTACAGCTGTAAGAAATGTTAGGGACAGGAGGTGGCATGGTGGTTAAGGCACTGGATACCATATGGCTAACTCTCCGGTTTCAGTCCCAGAGCTGGTGGCTTGGAAAACACATTGGGCACATAAGTGTGCGTGTGCCCCAAATCCTGAGAATGGAGAAGGGACTATGATGTGGCCATCCCCTCAGGGGGTGATTTCTCATTTTCCTTCTCCCTCCCTCTCTTTCCCCTGGTAAGTGCAAGTACCCTATCACAAAAAAATCTAAAAAACAAACAGTTAACATTTCCATGTTAACTCATGTTTAACTGCCTGAGTTAAAGTGCCAATTTCAATTCTGGAGAAGTCAGCCTCTTTATTTTCCTGGTACTAAATTAAGTACCTTAATTAAATCCTAATTACACATGGCATGCTAACTAATAAAACAGAACCATCTTTCACTACAAAATAAAAAAAGTCAAGCAAAATAATAAGCAGTTGGAAATAACACTGTACTAAATTAAAAGTGTTGTAATATTGTGCTTTTTTTCTTTTAAGATTTACTTATTTAATTCCATTTGTTATTATTTTTTAAATTTGACCAGAGAGAGGGACCAGCAGGTGGCGTGGTAGTTAAGGCGCTGGGCACTCCCACATGGCCAACCACGGTTTGAATCCCGGACATGGTGGCTTGCTTTCTCATTCTCCCTCTCTCTCGCTTTCTGTATCTCTCTCTGGCCAAATTAAAATAAATGAATGAATAAATAAAATTAAATAATTATTTAAAAAAAAATTAAAAATTTGACCAGAGAGAGCGAGAGAGCGAGCGAGCCACCAGGTCCGGAACTCAAACCGCGGTCAGCCATGTGGGAAATTACCACATTACCTGCTGGCTCCTGTAATCTTTAAAAAAAAAAAAAAAATCCAGTTGATAAAAATAACAAGGATTTACCTTTTTGGTTGAAGAATTGTGGGCAAATATGTATGAATGAGATAAAAGTGCAGTACTGATCCACATATATTTTGAAAAGTTAGTGAACACAAAAGAAGGTAAGATTTGCTCAACCTAAGTAGATATACAGGCATGTATATTTTGCTTGCTGACAAAGGCACTGGACTGAGAAAAAGTTGGGGACAAAAGCAAAGGTCATTTTGGTTGTAGGTGGTCATACTCCAAGCTTCAAGGTGTTACTAACAAGTCTTTATCATCCTGAACTGGTTGCTTTTCCTCTTCCATAAGACAGATGGTCTAGACTTAGCAGCACGGTTTCCATGATGGGCTCCCATCAACAACTCTTCTTAGTTCTTCTTCAGTCTGGTTTCATGGTACCCCACTGTCCCACACAGCAAAAACACCAAAATGATCACCTCATTCTACCTCTCCAAGTTTCAAGAGAGAAAATAGACTAGTCATGCTGCACTGCTGGGGGGGGTGGTGGTGTCATTCTCAGAAGTTTAGTCTCTGGCACTCTCCGCACTGGGCTCTGCTATGCTCACTTGGAGCAGGGGCTCCACCTCAGGAGTGACTGTAAGATAGGCTATTTCCACGTATTTCATAGAATATGCTACCCACAGTGGTGCAGGGAGACACTGTAATCCAATCAGTTAAACAGACAATTCAGTGCTTTCCTTCGCACCGAGTGGAAAACTTTTAAATCTATTTTAACTCAGTAGGGTAATTCACAGCAAAAGCTAAATTACCAGTCAGAAAGAGGTTTTTTTTTTTTTTTTTAAGCTAGATCCTTTTTAAAACAGAAAAGATTATTTACACATTTTTTTGTATTACCCAAATGAAAAAGATCAATTTAAATGTTCAGAGGACAGCTATATTAATGAAACATCAACAAGTTACAGATAAACATTTTAATTGATTAAATATATTATTTTCAAGGTCTTTTAAATCGCACTTGTACTGGACTAGTTAACAACTAAAGGCAATAAAAAAAGTTTAAAATAAAAAATGTTCTTATGTGAACACATGACAGGAACTGCTGCTATGTGAAGTAACATACACTGCTCCCAAGAACAATAGTTTTAGAAGATAATTCATCTTAACATGTGCAAGGGCAAATTTGTAATCAAAGGCTAGAAGAAATATATATTAGTGCCTGCTTTCAAAAGTTTATTTTACATTTTAAATACAGTATTTTCCTCATAAAAAAAAAAAAAAAAAGCCAGGAAGTGCCTAACTCCATGGTTTCTAACCCATATGTACATGAGAGCTGTCAGAGAGCCTGACAGTGTTCTGGATTGTAACAGTATGGACATCTATGAGCTGGGACTACTTCTAAATCAAAATTTAAAAACACAAATGAAGTACTGCTTAGGAGAAAATAATCCAGTTTCTGAACAACCAAAATAGAACAGAGTTAGATATGTACAAAAACCAGGTATTAAAAAAACAGAAAGAAATGCAGCACACAAAAAACTCAAACAGCTCATGTGTGTGAACTGTATATACTGCAGCTACTCAACGGAAACCCTTCTACCAGAAGTGGTTTGTGATTTGAAGTATTAAAAATCTAAGTATTTCAGTAACAACATATAACAGTAATATGAAGTGCTATTTCCATCTTTTTAATTTTCTATCTATGCCACCCTCCCTTCTGAAAATGAGGATCTCTAGGCTAGCCATCACTTATACAAATTTAAGGAAATTAATCCATATTTGTTTTCAGTAAGGAAAACAAAGATGTGTCTCTTCCCATCAGTGAAGACATAATATAGATTAAAGCTATACAATTTAAACATGGGCATATGCATTTCCAATTCTTTGTATTAAGTACTTCCAAACTGGAATCATGTAGGGTTTGTGCCTAAGTGGTAACAAATTAAAAGAAAATGAATGGTCTCTGGCAGTGATTTCTATATTAGTGCAATGTTACTCCTAATACACTTAATTATACTGAAATGATTTTATATTTGGTAGGTGCCAATTTGAGTTTACAAAATTCCTAACTGTATACTTCATGCAAAAAAGAAAGTTTCAATCTGAGGTGCTAACTCAAAACAAAAGTGAATTAATTTTGTTTCTGCTACCTGTAGTATGAATACCAAATGGAGAGGAGACTGAGTTTGTGGAAGCTCACAAAGAAAGATGATGAATGTTCTAAGTATCTTGATATTTCAATTATCTACTAAGTCTAAACATTCTAGCTTTAAGATCATCTCAGAAAATAATTTTCTGTAATATAACTCTGAACTAAACAGCTGCACTCAAAGCAAAAACCATCTGAGTCATTCAGAACAGATCGAATTGAGGCAATTTCTTTTTCTACTGTAATCTGTGAGGTCTTAAAAGTTTTTAAATTTTAAAAATGGTGACCTTCAATCAAAGCCAGCTGCACCTAATACAGACTGCTTACCTAAGATTTCAAATTAGAGGGCGCCGTAACTACAGGCTCTCATAAAACACATGGAGCAGGCAGCAATGGACTGACTAACCATCAGCCAGGTTGGATCAATGTCGGGAGGTTTTATTTTGGAGACATTAAATATTAATACATAGCTCATGTAACTTCAGCATCTACTAGTGACTCTTCTGGTCAGCACCCAAGGGCTAGATGAGTCTGAGGAATCCCTTTTAACCCCAAAGTATTAATGCTAAAGAGTCCCAAGGAAATCCTGATTCCCAACAAGAGTCCACAAACCATCAGACCAAAATCAATAAGGTAAACACTGACGCCAATGCTCCACGCAAGTCAAAAGAAATTTCCAAATTAAATGCCATCTTTTGCCCAACCCTAGACTCCAGACTATGTAACGACATCTTTATCTAGTGTAATAGACTCTGTAGTAGACTGATTTTGACCTCCACAAAGAATAGGAGTTGTCAAACTTGAGGAGATAGACTCCTCTCCCTGGATATTGGTGGCTGCCAGCATATACTTCCTCGTGACAGTCCCGTCGGTACACAGGCACAATCTCATCTAGCACAGGCTTGTTGGCATTCTTTTTGGCTTTCTCTTCAGAACTGATATTTTCTATGAGAAAAAATAAAGACAAGTAAATGAACAGATCCAGAATGATGACATTCATAGCAAGCAATTAAATTCTATCCTTTGTAAAACTATTTGTTTGGAATCGTCTCAAACCATTCTACAATTTATGTAAGAAAGCATTCGTTCATTAATTCAAACACCTGAATTTCTGCTATGTACACTAAGCACTGTTCTGACACCAGTGACGGACATCTGGTGGTGGTAGAAGTCAGCACCCTGTCCCTTTTCTGGGCCCTTGAGCACTGTTCCTGTTTCTGGGACCCATCTAACATACTTCCATATCCATTCAATTTCTTTCTTTCTTTTCTTTTCTTTCTTTTTTTTTTTTTAAAAGAACTACTTACTTAATTTATTTAATTTGATCAAAGACAGACAAGACAGACAGACAGACAGACACACACACACACACACACACAGAAGGAGAAGGAAAGTGAGAAGGCAAGCCATCAGGTCTGGGTCTCAAACTGAGGTTGGCCATGTGGGAGTGTCCAACACCTTAACCACTACAACACCTGCTGGACCCTCCATTCAATTTCTAAATCCTCCCCATAGGAAGAATCACACTCATCTGTGTATGACCAAGAAAAATGTTGCTCTGATCCTCCTTCAACTCAACAATATGAAAGTCTTCCCATTTTAGGAAAGTAGTAAGGAAGTTTATAAGAACTATTACCTGGGGGCAGCAGGTGGCACAGTGGTTAAGGCGGTGGACTATGGTTTTAGTCCCGGACCTGGAGGCTTGCTTTCTCACTCCCCACACACCCCCACCCCCCGTCCCTCTCTAATCAAATTAAAATAAATCAATTAGGTTAAATAATTCTTTAAAACAAACAAACAAACAAACAAAAAAACACGTCAGGCACATAGGCACGCATGCCCAAAAGAGAAGTTGCCATCTCCTCTGGGATGTGCTTTCTCACTCCTCTTCCCTCTTTCTGTCCCTCTCCAGGAAGTACACATATTCTAAGCAAATTAAAACAAACCATGCAGAAAGTTTGAGAAACCCTCAGTTTAAAGAGACATGATGACTGACCACAATGTGGTATCCTTGACTGAATTTCTGGAACATTAAGTAAAAACTAAGAAAAACTGACTAAATTATGATGTCAACAAATAGGGGAACCTGGGTGATTCCTCTCTCTCTGGTGAGCATATGGGTACTCTGTACTATCTTTGCAACTTTTCTACAAATCTAAACTCACGCCAGGTGCGTGCGTGCATGCCCAAGATCCCGAGAGAATGGAGGAGAAAGGACTGTGGTGTGG